GGGCTAGTTCATGAGGGTGAGAAGAAATTGTGCAGACATAGATACTTACCACAATAAAGCTGACATTCTCAAACATTCATTGAGAAAGGATACAATAAGGAAACACTTGATATAGAGATGTATATATGTATGTATGTATATTAGCATATGAATCATGACTCTGTGCTATCCAATTCTATCATGCGTAAGGATAATAAATTCTGTCTGTTTGTCACATCTTTCACTATACAGCACAAAACTGTTAGCATTATCATTAAGAAAAACTGGGATATTCTAAAAGCTGACCCTGTCTTATCCAGAGCCTTACCTGATAGACCTGAAATTGTGTTTAGAAAGGCTCCTACACTTAGGAATAAGATTTCCCCCAACATTACAGATCCTCCCTGAAGAACTACTTTTTCGTGAATATGAAAGGTTTTTATCTGTGCAATAAGTGCGTCATATGTAGACAAAGTGGAAGATATAAAAGAAAAATTGAGTTGTTCACATCTTCCACGACTGGGAAGACATATGACATTACATTTTTAACCTGTAACAGCCGTTATGCAGTGTACCTTTTAGAATGCCCATGTAAAAAACAATATATTGGCCGCACTACAAGGAGACTTAGAGACAGGTTTAGAGAACATGTTAATAACATCAAAAAGTGTTTGAAGGAACATTCACTCTCTAAACATTTCAGGTATCACCACAACAGAGACCCGACGACTCTGAAATTCACTGGCATTGATATTGCCCAGAGTCATTGGCGAGGTACTAATAAATGTAGATTGGTCTCACAAATGGAAACTAGATGGATATATGAGATGAAAACCCTGACTCCTTAAGGCCATAATGTCGAAGTGGACATAAACTGTTTTATAGACAACAGTCGATCCTATCCATCCCGATTTTTTTTACCACACGCTGCATGACCTACCCTCCACACTTAATTTGAATCCCCTTTTCACTTTTTTTTTTACTATTTTTTACTATTTTTGTACACTTATTGTTTTTATGGCTATCCTGGTCTATATTTATTTGGTGCTTGATTTTAAAGTTACTTTTATATTGACCATTTATTATATATATTTCGTTCGTTGTACTTTTGATCATATGTCACTAGTTTTATATTTCTTCAGTACCCAGCAATATGAGCCTTGGTGGGCTTTACATTTATTATCTATCAATTCATCTTATTTATAAAATTATGTATTTGGTTTTTAGTGCGACAGCCTATTTTATTTATCAATTTTTGTCATTCAATTTATCTATTAGTTTCCTTATATAGATTATATTCTATATATTTTCATTTTTAGTGAGAGCTGATGCGTTGGATGTTGTCATACCAATGAATTTAGCTATATCACATTTTTATCTATACCATTTTATTAAACATAATCTATTTTACCAAATTACGTCATATGTCTCTCACATTGAGACTTTTAATACATTATTTATGTAACCACACATATTTTTTTCCTTTTTACAATCATTAACATATCAGGTTCTATATTATATTGACAATGATGTATCGTGGCCCCATGAATAAAAACGTTCCACGACAAAATGGTGGCTATCTTTCCGCACATGCGCACTTTATACTGATCGTTAACATGACCCCATATGGATTATATCACGATTGTCACTTTCTATGGCCACCCTCATTAATCACATGCCACATATATAGCCTCCTTAATGAATATTTAAGTTACATGGCCTACATAACTCCCTGGCAGAGATATCTATGTTCCACAAGAAAACGGCGCCCGCGGTATTCACGCATGCGCATTACGATGACGATCGTGAACCGGGACTGCACATCTATACGCTTAAGGTCTTTGACTCCTAATCACATACTTATCACTCAGGATGATTCGCTCTCAATATCTATTTTTTTGGTAAAAGCTGTCAGCTTGTCTCCTTGCTTCAATGACCTAAAAAATGGCGCCCGTGGTCCCACGCATGCGCAATTGATGCGGGTTGCCGGCAAAATGGCGCCCGCGGTCCCGCATATTCACAATTGGCGCTGATCACTGGCAAGATGGCGCCTTCTCATTTGTCATAAGCGTCCAACTACTATAAATAGATCCACATTGACATCCGGCTGCTATGGCACACATGACCCTCATTGCAGTTTTAAAGGGGACCTATAGAAGTGCTACTTCATCGCCTTTATCTCTAAGAACTCCACTCCAGGCTGCTTCCTTCCCAGGACAGAGGGGACCTGGGGCTTGTTTGATTCATATGCGCATTTATATTGCGCCTCTGGTGAGTGTGCAATCTTACCATTTTCCCGTACATCACCGGACTACTGGGACTAGAGGAGTCACCTATTGGAATATTGATATCAGCATCACTCTTTGCACTTATTTGAATGTTGATTGAAATATTTGTTCTATTGCTTATAGTGCATAGGTGTTGGGACATACACTACCTGTTCCTTATAGATTGTCACATGGACTTTATTTTCATACTATAATATTTATGTGTTTTATATTCATCTTTATGCATTTATTTTTATATATTTTTATATTGTGTATTATAGCTTCAGGCATCCGCATCACATTTTATTATCATTTTTTTATAGCGCTGCACTAACTATAGACTAACTTTGCTTGAATGCAATTCTCTCCTTACTACACAAGGGCTAAATAGGTTTTATACCATTCTGTCAAGCAGGTGACAATATGAGAAAAGTAATCAACTAAATCGATCTGGTTAACAGGAAGAAAAGGAAAGCTTTCGTATTGAGCCTAAACATCGACAAAGCTTTTGACAGACTAAGCTGGCCTTTCCTCTTTGCATACATAGGGTTCAGAGGTCCTTTCCTCCAAGCGATTAAAATTGAATACACTTATATACATATACAATTGTATATGACTTCTTTACAGGTCATAACCCCCTATGTGACTTCATAGCCCTTTTATTATATCCAATGGCGTAGGACAGGGCTGCCCCCTGTCACCTTTCCTATTTTCCTTATGCATTGAGCCCTTTGTAACCCACATTCATAAGGATCCCAACATTCACAAAATCCCAGTAGGAAACCAGGAATTTAAAAATATCACTTTTTGCAGATGATGTCCTCCTTACGTTAACTCAAACATGCATTCGTTTTCCCAACCTACATAGATGCTATATTGTATATTAAATACACAATATACAAAATCTGCACCTCCAAATTGGACATCCTCCTGCTTAATGCTTCTCCCTTAGTGCTCCAGAACTTAATCAGCTATTTCTCCTATACATAGTGGACCTCCAAGATCTATGAGTGAAAATTACTGCCAGATACAGCACACTGTACAGGGAAAACTTGTTACCACTCATTTGAGTTATATTTTACATCTTTACTGCACTGGAAGAAACACTATATCCTTCTTTGGCCCTGTCACTTCTATTAAAAGCTTCTCTCTAAGCTTTACTACTTTTTAGAAACATTACCAATACCCACTGAAACTACAGCTTAAAAGCCTGCAAATGGATTTGCTGAATTTTGCGTGGGATTACAGAAGACAGTCTTTAAAATGGTTCTTTTTATTTATTTATTACAGGTACTTATATAGCGCCATCAATGTACGTAGCGCTTTACATGTATTTTATATTCATATCAGTCCCCACCCTTAAGGAGCTTACTTTTTGCCTCTCAAAATGAGGGTGGTCTGGCATTTCCAAACCTAATGACGTATTATCAAACAATGACTGATAATGAGTGAACCACGTTGTCATAGCAACCAGGAATTGTGTCCAGCCCCTTGCATCCTTGCTCTTCTATCAGCGATCCTCTGCCGGCTTCTGTGCTCCACTGATGTCACGTCTGGTTTGAGCTTGATGTCATTTCCAGTGTGCGTCAGTTCCGGGGACACTCAAGAGGCTGCATCCTATCACAGTGACTGTTACCACCATCTCACAGCTGGTGACCCACACACCATGTATAGTGGTCCACAGGATTTCTCCATCATCAACTCCAATACCCTGGTTTGGCACTTCCTGTATCTCCAGCAGTAAGCCAATTTTATTGCTAACAATGTGACATATGGGCTATACCACTTATTTTGTCTTTGATCTGCACTGGATACAGAACTTCAGTTTATGTTTTTATTAATTTAAGTGGATAATAAAAATCCTTTTTCATCTTGGACAACATTGTTACTATCAGTGCCATTCTGTTTGCTCCTACCGATTACGTCATATTCTAGCTTTACACCAAGAGTGCTCATTATCAGTCATTGTTTCTTTTACACGTCTCCTATGGTTAATTGAGCAGCTGTGGTCATAGCCTCAACAAGCTACATTGCCTTATTATGGTTACCAGCACCCAAGTGGTTTGTGAGTTCTAGTATTGAAGTATTATCAAGTAACTCACCTGCAAGCCATAGCCTCTTGGTCTACCCTATATGCCTATAATAGCTGTACAGAAAAAGAAAAACTTTGGATAGCACCTGTGTATCCTTAGTCACTGCTGTGAAATGAGGACACTGATAGATTCCCAGAATCAGCTCCACACTATGTCATTCCCCTGTGGCTTAAGGAGGACAGTGAACCGCATATATTCCCCAAAGCCAAAAGTGTCCTTAACCACTTGCCTACCAGGCACTTATACCCCCTTATTTACCAGGCCAATTTTCAGCTTTCAGCGGTCATGCAACATTGTACCCATATGAAATTTTGATCATTTTTTTTCTCACAAATAGAGCTTTCTTTTGGTGGTATTTAATCGCCACTGGGCGCTTTACTTTTTGCGCTATAAATAAAAAAAGTGCAAAAAATTTGAAAAAAAAAAAAAGTTTCTTTGTTTCTATTATAAAATTTTTCAAACAGGTAATTTTTCTCCTACACTGATGTGCGTTGATGAGGCAGCACTGATGGGCACTGATAGGCGGCACTGATAGGCAGTACTAATGAGGTGGCATGGATAGGCGGCACTGATAGACAGCACTAATGAGGTGTCACGGATAGGCGGGCACTAATATACAGCACTGATAGGTGGCACTGATAGGTGACACTGATGATGGGTACCGATAGACGGCACTGACTGGCATCACTGCTGGGCACTGACTGGCAGCACTGCTGGGCTGCACTGGTGGGTGGGCACAGGTGGGTGGCACTGCTGGGCACAGGTGTGTGACACTGCAGAGTGGCACAGGTGGGTGCACTGCTGGGCACAGGTGGGTGATCTGCTGGGCACAGGTGGGCGGAGCTAGTGGGGCGCACTGCTGGGCACAGGTGGGCGGAACTTGCGGGTGCCACTGCTGGGCACCAATCATCAGGGCACTGATCATCAGTGCCCTGATGATCGGTGCCGATCCTCGCTCTGACAACTGCCGGTTCTCGATCTGACAGCGTGAGGAAAGTGCAGCCGAGAACCGGCACTTGCATTTCCCTCTGATCAGCGTGTCATTGGACACCGCTGATCACGTGGTAAAAGGCCGCTGTGATTGGCCTTTTACCACATCACATGATCAGCTGTGTCCGTAGGACACAGCGTTCACGGAGATCGCCGGGTGCGCGCCCCCTGGGGAGCGCAGGAGAGCGCGTTCTGGGAGGACGTCATATGACGTCCACTCAGAACTGGCCGGCCGCAGTGCAGCCGTCATTCGGCTATCTGCGGTCGGCAACAAGTTAAATAACCTCGCCCGAAGGGCTTGGTATCGATGGGAGGGGGAACCCCATGCTGTTTTTTAATTATTTATTTTTTTAATTGCTGTTGCAATTCTTTTACATTCAGCTGTCAGTGGGAAACCCATGGTTGTCACTATTAAAATACCACGACTTAATAACTCATGCAGTATTTTAGTAGTGTTTACTTTTTTCTGACCTCCGGAACAGATTAATTTTCAATGCATTCCTATGGGAAATGGTGTTTCGGTTTATGAGTTTTTTGCTATACGAAAAGTCCTGCAGACCGTAAACCGATGTATTACTGTAATATCAATTTATTTTTTACATTTGTTTTTTTCTATCTTTTTTAGATTATATATATATAAAGTTACTGCATTTATGTTTCATTTTGGCGGTTAATACAACTTGCTTGGGCTCTTTAGAGATATCATGTGTCCGGTTGCTATAGTTACCGATGTGTATATAACGTGAGCATGTCACTGGGCAGCCTATCCCTGATGAAGCCACGTGGTTGGTGGTGTAACACGTGGGGTGGAGCTTGGTGACATCAGTTCTGGTCACGGACTCTACGACCAGAAGTGTGGTGAATATCATACCGATCTGTTTACTCTGAAACATTGTGTTACTCTGTTCATGCTTTTAATTTAAAAACTATGGGAGGCTGTTCTTTCTTCCTACATGTTGCTGTGAAGTTGTGAAGACATTTCTGGGGTGATCCTGCATTATCATCCTTGTCATTGCCTTATCCAGCTCTTTGCTGCCATCTAGAGCCCATTCATGGATTGACCATGCTTGCTTGACCTATGATATACAGGTGAAACTCGAAAAATTTGAATATTGTGCAAAAGTTAATTTATTTCAGTAATGCAACTGAAAAGGTGAAACTAATATATGAGATAGACTCATTACATGCAAAGCAAGATAGTTCAAGCCGTGATTTGTCATAATTGTGATGATTATGGCTTACAGCTCATGAAAACCCCAAATCCACAATCTCAGAAAATTAGAATATTACATGCAATCAATAAAACAAGGATTGTACATAGAACAATATCGGACCTCTGAAAAGTATAAGCATGCATATGTACTCAGTACTTGGTTTGGGCCCCTTTTGCAGCAATTACTGCCTCATGCGTGGCATGGAAGCTATCAGCCTGTGGCACTGATGAGGTGTTATGAAAGACCAGGATGCTTCAATAGCGGCCTTCAGCTCTTCCGCATTGTTTGGTCTCATGTTTCTCATCTTTCTCTTGGCAATGCTCCGTAGATTCTCTATGGGGGGTTCAGGTCAGGTGAGTTTACTGGCCAATCAAGCACAGTAATCCCACGGTCATTGAACCAGGTTTTGGTGCTTTTGGCAGTGTGGGCAGGTGCCAAGTCCTGCTGGAAAATGAAGTCAGCATCCCCATAACGCTCGTCTGCGGAAGGAAGCATGAAGTGCTACAAAATCTCCTGGTAGACAGCTGCGTTGATCCTGGACTTAATGAAGCACAGTGGACCAACACCAGCAGATGACATGGCTCCCCAAATCAACACAGACTGTGGAAACTTCACACTGGACTTCAAGCATCTTGCAGTGTGTGCCTCTCCATTCTTCCTCCATACTCTGGGTCCTTGGTTTCCAAATGAGATGCAAAAGTTGCTCTTATCAGAAAAGAGGACTTTGGACCACTGAGCAACAGACCAGGTCTGTTTTCTTTAGCCCAGGTAAGAGACTTCTGACATTGTTTGTTGTTCAGGAGCGGCTTGACAAGAGGAATAGGACATTTGAAATCCATGTCCAGGATCCGTCTGTGTGTGGTGGCTCTTGATGCACTGACTCCATCCTCAGTCCACTCCTTGTGAAAGTTCCCAACACTTTTGAATGGCCTTTTCCTGACAATCCTCTCCAGGCTGCGTTCATCCCTGCTGCTTGTGCACCTTTTTCTTCCACACTTTTCCCTTCCACATAACTTTCTATTAGTGTGCTTTGATATCCAACTTCCTTTGCAGTTACCTTTTGAGGCTTTCCCTCCTTATGGAAGGTGTCAATGATGGTTTTCTGCACAACTCAGGTCAGCAGTCTTTCCCATGAATGTGGATTTGGGGTTTTCATGAGCTGTAAGCCATAATCATCATAATTATGACAAATCACAGCTTGAACTATCTTGCTTTGCATGTAATGAGTCTATCTCATATATTAGTTTCACCTTTTAAGTTGCATTACTGAAATAAATGAACTTTTGCATGATATTCTAATTTTTTGAGTTTCACCTGTAAGTCCATTATTTGAGGGGAGCGGCCATCCTATTCTCAGGTGGAGGGATACTTCTTTCTTTTTGTGGTGGAGCACTGTCAGTTGAAGTTGTGGAGCACAATTTATTCAAGCACATCATTTATCGGCTTTAGGACTTTTTTAACACAAGGACTTTATGTTTTCATTTGGACATTAATTTGATGTTATTTATTATTGTGAATTTCATCTATGTTATGTGTTAGCGCAAAACTGTTAATATGATTTTGGATGATTGATTTATTTTCTTTCTTTGAAACCAATTGAGTTACCTTGGCTTTTTGTTTGGGATCATTGTCTTGCTGAAATGTCTGTTTCATCTTGATCATCCTGGAAATGGCTGCAGATTTTTATCAAGAATGCCTTGGTACATTTTTCCATTCATCCTGCAATTAAATTCAGTTTGTCAGTACCGTATGCTGAAAAACAGCCCCACACCATGATGTTCCCATCTCCAAACTTCACCATTGGTATGGTGTTTTTGGGGTGATGTGCAGTGCCATTTGACCACCTCCAATCATGGTGTGTATTATGGCATCCAAAGAGATCAATATGGGTCTCAAATGACCAGACTATATTCTCCCAGTATTTCAAAGGCTTGTCTAAATGTTGTGAAGCAAACTTTAAACGAGCTTCAACATGTTTTTTCTTCAGCAATGGAGTCTTGCGTAGTGAGCATGCATACCCAGGCCATGACGGTTGAGTGCATTACTTGCTTGCTTTAAAACAACTTTATTTGCTAATTCCAGGTCTTTCTGAAGCTCCCCACAAGTCCTTGGCTCTTGGACAACTCTTCTGATAATTCTTTTCACACCTGTCAGAAATATTGTGAGGAGCACCTGGTTGTGACCAGTTTATGGTGAAATGATGTTCTTTCCACTTCCGGATTATGGCCCCAACAGTGCTCACTGGAACTTAGAAATTTAGAATCCTTCTGTAGCCAGTGCCATCAGTATGTTTTGCAACAATAAGGTTGCAAAGGTCTTGAGAGAGCTCCTTGCTTTTACCCATCATGAGATGTTTCTTGTGTGACACCCTGGTAATGAGACACCTTTTTAAAGGCCATCAGTTAAGACTGAACCAGCTGATATTAATTTGCCCTGACAATGAGATGGATTGCTTTCTAATTACTGACAGAGTCTAACTGGTGTCTTGGATTTCCATGCCTTTTTGCACCTCCCTTCTTCATGTGCTCAAACTTTTTCCCTGCGTCATTCCATTTTATTACACATAACTTAATTTCTGAACTTGTTTTGGTTTCTTTGTATGGATGAATTGCATGGGTTGTTAACGACATGTGGTGAAAATTTCATGTCAATAGCACCTTTAGAAATACACTACATTGCCAAAAGTATTGGGACGCCTGCCTTTATACATGATCTTTAATGGCATCCCAATCTTAGTCCGTAGGGTTCAATACTAAGTTGGCCCACCCTTTGCAGCTATAACAGCTTCAACTCGTCTGGGAAGGCTGTCCACAAGGTTTAGAAGTGTGTCTATGGGAATGTTTGACCATTCTTCCAGAAGCACATTTGTGAGGTCAGGCACTAATGTTGGACAAGGCCTGGCTTGCAGGCGCTGTTCTAATTCATCCCAACGGTGTTCTATCGAGTTGAGGTCAGGACTCTGTGCAGGCCAGTCAAGTTCCTCCACCCCAAACCCACTTATCCATGTCTTTATGGTCCTTGCTTTGTGCACTGATGCACAGTCATGTTGGAACAGGAAGGGGCCATCTGCAAACTGTTTCCACAAAATTGGAAGCATGAAATTGTCCAAAATGTCCTGGTATACTGACGCCTTGTTTTTTAGCCCAACCCCTGAAAAACAACCCTACAGCATAATCCCCCCTCCACCAAACTTTACACTTGGCACAATGCAGTCAGGCAAGTACCGTTCTCCTGACAACCGCCAAACCCAGACACGTCCATCAGATTGCCAGAAAGAGAAGTGTTATTTGTTACTCCAGAGAACACCTCTCCACTGCTCTAGAGACCACTGGCAGCGTGCTTTACGTCACTGCATCTGACGCTTTGCATTGCACTGGGTGATGTAGGGCTTGGATGCAGCTGTTTGGCCATGGAAACCCATTTCATGAAGCTGTCTATGCACTGTTGTGCTAATCTGAAGGCCACATTTAGTTTGGAGGTCTTTAGCTACTGACAGTTGGTGACTTCTGCGCACTGTGAGCATCATGTGCTGACACCGCTCTTTCGTCATTTTACGTGGCCTACCACTTCGTGACTGAGGTACCATCGTTCCCAGTTGCTTCCACTTTGTTATATTACCACTAACAGTTGACCGTGGAATATAGAGTAGCAAGGAAATTTCACGGATGGACTTATTGTACAGGTGGCAAGCTACTAGGGTACCACGATTGAATTCACTGCGCTTCCGAGAGCAACCCATTCTTTTATAAATGTTTGTAGAAGCAGTCTGCATG